AAGTAATATAAATTAAATTTATTAAATTTAGGTACTTTAATTAATTATTTAAAATTTTTAAATAATGTATAATAATAAGTGATCTTTATGACAAAATATCAACAAGTTGGCTTAATGAAATTTGAAAAGAAAAAAGAGCAATGAAATTATGAAAGATAATCAACCATAATGAATTTTTTTTCTTAAATATAACTGGAGATTAAGGTTGTTTCCTTAAAGAAAATTTCTAGCTCCTCTTCTGCCTATGTTAGGTTTTTAATTTTTTTTCTTTTTAAACATGAAAGGGTTTATTTCATAAATGTATAGGTGTCATTGTTGTATTGGTCCATCTATCAAATGAGTATTGGTTGTGTAATAGCTTATTTCATAAGCTAAGGTTGCAAAACTATAAATAGTCTGAGTTGTAATAAGGCGGTTAATGAGAAAATACAGAAACATTGCAATCCTTTCTTTAAGCTTTCTCTCTCTCTCTAAACTGTGATCATATTTCTTCAAGCTCAAATCCTAGAATTCAACTGTTAACATGGTATCCAGAGCAGGTTTTTCTGTTGTGGATCTGCTGGGTTACTAAGCAATCATGGTTCGTTGCGGTTCTAGAAGGCTAATTTGTTTTTTTTTTTTTTGGGGCGGTGCTGCAATTGATGTCGGTGATGTGATTAATGGCGGTGTTGCTATTGTTGTCGGTGCTGTGAGTTCATTCATTCCCACTGAATTCTTGTTCTTTCGGTTACTTTGGTTCTTTAGCTACAATTTCCATATTGTTTGAGTCGGTCTTGTATTAATGGCGGTGCAGTGATGGCGATGTTGTGAGTTCGTCAATTTTCATTGCATTCTTGTTCTTTCAGGTGCTTCGATTCTTTATCTGCACTTTCTATACTGCTTGATAGCTTGATTTTGATTGAGATCTGAAGGCCGATGCCATAGTATTGCATAGTTTGTTGTCGATGTGATTGATATCTTGAAGGCCAATGCCATATTTGTTAGTAGTTACTGTGGATGCTTTCTTGAAGGCCGATACCATATATCATGTTTGCTAAAATCAGCCATTTGTGATATTATTCTGTTTTTAGTCAGTGAAGACCTAAGTTGGTGTTGGTTGAATCTTTTTCTTAATACCTAAAGCCATAGCTTGTTTCTGTTAACTGGGATTTTTCATAATGACTACTTCTACGGTGAAAATTGAGAGTGTTTTGGGGATGTTGACAATTAAGTTGAATGATACAAATTACTCTAAGTGGGCTTTTCAATTCCAGTCTGTGCGTTGGGGATGTAAGTTGTTTGATCACTTTGATGGAACCGCTGTTCCTCCATCAAAGTTTGTTATTAGCACCGAGACTGGTGTTACTAAGGAAATTTCACCTGCCTTCCAAGAATGGGAAACTGTAGATTTAGCTCTTCTGAGTTTGTTAATTGCAACATTGTCCGATGATGCTATTGAGCATATGATTAGATGCAGAACTGTTTCAAAAGCATGGTCTATTCTTACAGATAGATATGCTACAGTGTCTAAGTCTAGAATTAACATGCTTAAAACTGAATTTCAAACAATGCAAAAGGGCATTGATTGCATTAATAAGTATCTGTCTAGACTTAAATCTATTCGGGATCAACTCATTGTTGTAGGAGAATGTATTTCTGAAAATAAGTTCATAATAGCAGCCCTTGCTGGTCTTCCAAGAGAATATGCTATCATCTGAACAATGATTCTAGCTAGAGAGACCACAATTTCATTGAAAGAGTTTCGAGCTCAACTTTTAAATACTGAAATGGACATTGACACAATGGAGACTACTTTGTCACATTTTATGTCTGCTATGTAAGGGCAAGGTTCTTCTTCATCTCAGGGCTTTTCTCAAGGATCATCATCTAACTCTACTCTACATGATGGTCTATCTTCTACCACTGCTGGTACCATTACTCCAGGTCCCTATGTTCCTCTTGCATCACAACCATTTCCTGTTGGTCCATTTGTTTAATTTCTAGGTTATGGATATGGTTTCATTGGCAATGGTTCACAGTTTCAGATGTCTATACCCTATCATTCCTCCATTTTCCTCATTTAATCAGAGACTATACGAACGAAACAATGGAGGATTTAAATACAGTTACAACAGGGGTCGAGGTAATGGTTTGTGTTCTCGACAAGGTGGCTAGAATGGAAACACTGATTCCAGATTTCAAATGCAACCTGAATGTCAAATCTGCCAAAGAAGGGCCAAACAGCTCCAAACTGCTTTTATAGAAGTTCTACTTCTAGACATAATTTTTAAGAATGCCAAATTTGTGGTAAAAAGGGTCACATCGCTCTGGAGTGTTACCATAGAGATAACTATGCATATCAAGGTTTTGGTCCTCATTCCTCTCTTCAGTCTATGCCTGGTCCTACATATTCATCTTCACAGTTTCAGCCTCCCACTTTACCAGCTTTCTCAGGATCCACTTAATCCGGTCTTAATCTGAATGATATGTTAGCTCATACCATTGCACCATATCCCACTAAACATGCTTGAATCATGGATACAGGTGCCTCGCATCATATGACTTCGGATGTTAACAGTTTCACTCAAGTTCAGCCATTTGAAGGCTCTGAGAAGATGAAAATAGGCAATGGTCAAGGTTTGCCTATCAAGCATGTTGGATCTACAATGCTTACAACTCCTTCATCTCTTAAACTTAATCAAGTTCTTCATGTTCCTAATCTTACTGAGGACCTTTTATCTGTGAAACAATTATGTAAAGACAATCGATGTTGGTTTATTTATGATGATACACTGTTTTTTGTGCAGGACAAGGTAATAAGGCGATACTGTACCAAGGCAGGAGTAAGCCTAATGAGTTGTTTCAGATTCCTGTGTTCAAGAATGTACAATCTCAACATTTTCCAAGACATACCTCTGCATTTCTCGGTCAAGCTATCAGGTCTACTCTCTAGCACCAACGGATGGGTCATCCTACCAATGAGGTCCTCTGTGTTATGTTACATAAGTCTCAAATAAGTCACCAAGTAGATGACAATTGTAAATTGTGCTCATATTGTATTAAGGGAAAATGTCTAAATTACCTTTTTCTCAGGATTCTTCTAGATGTTTAGTACCTTTTGAGAGAATTCATTCAGATATTTGGGGTCCCTCCCCACTTAAATCCATTGAAAAATATAGGTATTATATAACCTTCGTGGATGATTGTACCAGATTTGTATGGATCTTTCCGTTATGCAATAAATCTGATGCTTTCCCATTATTTGTGAGATTCTACACCTTTGTTTTTGTGCATTTTGGTTCTGCCATAAAGTTTTTCCAAACTAATGGAGGTGGTGAATATGTTTCAAGCAGTTTGATAATTTTCTTGCTTCTAAAGGAATTTTACACAAGATTTCTTGCCTTACGCTCCATAATAGAATAAGTTTGTTGAGCGAATGAATAGACATATCATCGATACTGCTATTACTTTGTTATCTGTTGCTGGATTGTCCTTGCATTTCTAGCATCATGCATGTGTACACTCTGTGTATCTTATTAATCGTATGCCTTGTAAAGCATTACATATGGAATCCCCTTTCTCAATGTTCTATCATCACCTCCTCAGTTACAGCATATAAGGGTCTTTGGATCAGCTGTTTACTCTTATATCAGGCCATATAATTCTCATAAACTTTAATTTCGATCTGTGTTATGTATCTTTCTGGGCTATGTAGTTGGTTACAAAGGTATTATTTGTTATGATCTTCAACACAAGAAATTATTATTATCCAAACATATGGTTTATGATAAGAGTTTATTTCCTGCTAAACAAAGGCATTCATCTGAGCCTTTTAATTGTGTGGTACCAGACTTTCAATTGTCTCATCCTTTGGTAGTTACATTGCCTTCCATGGTTCATCAGCAACAGAATTCAGATACTTCTAGTGCAAGATTGTTTGAACAGGAATCTAAAACTTTTACACCAACAACTCATTCTAGCTGCCCCTTCCTCTACTTCAACCCTGTTACCTGTTCTCCCTCTTGCGCAATTACAGGTATTACTTCCTCCCCTTGCTTCTAATGTTTCTAGTGATACTCCAGTTCATCATTCCCCCATCAAGACTAGGCTTAAGACAAGTGATATCTCTAGACAAGATTATTCAGCTTATTTGGCTACTTCCTCCGAGTCTAAGTCCATGCAAATTAATGTTGATGAATTTAGTTTCTCTGGTTTTACTTTTCTTGCCAATGTTGTTGATATGGATAAACTAAGAACTTTTTGAAGTGCGTGTACCAATCCTTTGTGGTAGAAGGCTATGCAAGAAGAATTTGATGCCTTGAAATCTTAAGGCACATGGGCTCTAGTTCCCTCTCTTCCAGATAGGTCTGTCGTGGGTTGCAAGTGGATTTATAAAATTAAAAGAAACTCCGATGGCAATTTTCTCGCTATAAGGCCTGTTTGGTTGCTTAGGGTTTTACACAAGAATAAGGTGTTGATTTTTTTGAGATATTTAGTCCTGTTGTGCGGCATTCCACAGTTCGGCTTATTTTGGCTTTTGCTATGACTCATCGTTGGAATCTACGCCAATTGGATATAAAGAATGCGTTCTTACGTGGTGAATTGCAGGATGAAGTTTATATGCAATAGCCCCCAGGTTTTGTGGTTTCTTAACATCCTTCTCATGTGTGTAGATTAGTCAAATCCTTATATGGTCTTAAACAAGTCCCTAGGGCTTGGCATTCTAAGTTCACTGGAGTTTTACCTGCATTAGGCTTTGTTGTTTCTCAATCTGACACCAGTTTATTTGTCAAACATGATGGCACTCATATTGTGATTTTATTATTATACATGGACGATATAATCATCACAGGATCCAGTGATACACAGGTTCAATATGTTATCAATACTCTTGGTGAACTATTTGAAGGACATGGGCAAACTGACATACTTTCTTGGTCTTCACATTCTGTCAAAAGATAATGGGGATTTGTTTGTAAATCAAACCAAGTATGCTATTGACTTACTGAAAAAAGCCAGGGATGGAGAATTGTAAACCTGCTCTCACTCCTTCTAAGCCTCACTCTCAATTACTTGTCACAGAAGATACTCCACTTCCTGATGCAACTTTATATCGTAGTCTTGTCGGTGCTCTCCAGTATCTCACATTCACACAGACCGATATTGCTCATTCAGTTGGTGTTGTTTATCAATTTATGCATCAACCTACTGATGCTCATTTCTTCTTGGTCAAACGCATTCTTCGATATATCAAAGGCACCTTAACATGTGGTCTTACTTACCAAGCTGCCTCTTCTGCTACACTATCAGCTTATTCTGATTCCGATTGGGCAGCTAATATTAATACACGGCGTTCCATCACTGCTTATGTTGTCTTTTTGGGTGCCAATCCAGTCTCATGGCAGTCCAAGCGGCAAGTATTCGTGTCTTGTAGCTCCACTGAAGCTGAATATAAAGCACTTGCTCACTGTGCTACAAATGTGTGTTGGTTGTGATCTATTCTAAAGGATTTGCATATTTTTCTTTCTTCTCCTCCTTTGCTGCAGTGTGAAACCTTGTCTGCTCTTGCTCTTAGCACCAATCTGTCTTCTATTCCTGTATCAAACATCTTGATACTGATTATCATTTTGTGCGGGAAAAAGTTCAAAAAGCGATATCTTGGTGTAGTATGTTCCTACTACTAATCAGGTAGCTGATGTCTTTACAAAAGGGCTTCACAGTCCTGTTTTTGTGCGTCATTGTTATAATCTTAATCTTGGTGTCCTTGGTTAAGATTGAGGGGGGCGGGGGGTGTAATAGCATAAATGTATAGTGTCATTGTTGTATTGATCTATTTGTCAAATGAGTATAGGTATCATTGTTGCTAAGATTGCAAAACTATAAATAATCTGAGTTGTAATAAAGCAGGTTGATGAGAAAATACAAAAACATTACAATCCTTTCTTCGAGCTCTCTTTCTCTCTCCTTTTCTCTCTCTCTAAACTGTGATCATATTTCTTCAAGCTCAAATCCTAGAATTCAACTGTTAACAAAACATGGCTTCTATGCCTACTATGATTAGAGTGGACGTAGTCATTTTCCAAAGGGAACACCTCAAATTGTATTCGTCTTTGGGTAAACGGGAAGGACAGTGGTTGTGGCGACTTAACGGGCTCCGGTCACAATCGGTGTCGTGTTTGGGGCAGAAAAGAAAGGAAATGCAAGCTGACCCTGACAACGACTGTCGGCATTGCATTAGGTCTCCACGTGTCCCTGCATTCTCAATATTTGTGGCTGTCCAACCATAGTGCGATGCTAATATGCACGAAACTTCTAATATACAACTTGTAGGAAGGAAGGAGGTAAGCATTGGTTGGCTAGTGGTCCAAACATAAAAGTGAAGAGAGCTCATAAATGATGTCAAGATACAGTCGGCGATCGATTAATGAAATATGCTGTAATATTATTGGAAAGATCAGTATACAAAATTATTGGCTTTTCTTCTCAAGATTACGACTAACCAGGAGATGTGTTGAATCCCAAGAAATTGTTCATCATCATGTGCAAGCAAAGCCAAAGAGCTGGGCCAATAATTTTTGGGTCTAATGGCTTATGTTCAAACTCAAGCAAAATATAAGACAGAATTTCAAATTTTCTTTGTCGGCATGGAAAATATCAAAAACTGATTGAGTGTGATCTCCAAAAAAAGGGAAATAAAAAGCTCCACTTGACTTGTAGTTGATGGAGGTCTATATCTAATTGTCCCATGGAACCATGGAAGGCTTGCCAGTAGTGTCAAATAATTTAGATTCTTAACAATAGGACAGGATACTTTCCGATATTTTATGTGCGGACCTTCGAGATTCATTGATCCTAATCGTTCATGACAAATCTAAGGGTTAAGATCCCACTCAGATTGTTCACTGCCTTCTCTCTCTCCCTTTTCTACTGCCATATGCGTCCATCTCTCCTTTTCTTCTTCTTCCTCTTTTTCTCTACCTTCACAGACTTCTGAACCTCCCAACAACCCACCATTGCCTACTCCAACTCCCCCTACTACAAGTCTACAACCCCTTTTCTTCCCCTCTCAATCCCTCTCCTACGACACCCACCACCTCTCCATCCTCTACTTCCACTGGCGTGACATCATCAACCCCGTCCATGATAACCTCTTACGCCTAATCTAGCAAGGAGAAGCTGACGGCGTAAAGGATCCGGAGAGCATCCTAGTCCCGAAACAATGATATGGGAAGCTATATAACATATATTTATTATTATAATATGGCATAATATATAATCCACTCATTAATAATTACAAAACTGTCACATAATTTTAGTTTGCAAATTTGTAGAGAGATTAATTTTGTAGACTAAATTTTGTAAACTAAATAACATGAAAGTTGATGATTGGATTATTACATAAACGTAGATAAATATGCTCATTTTCTATTAGTAACACATCATTTAGTTTGCAAATTATGTAAACAAATTTAGTCTCAAAGATCATTTAAAAAAAATAAAAGAAAAAAATAATCGTTATAAATCAATCTAAACATTATTTAGTCAGTTTTAGATAAAATACTTGCATGTATTCAACACAATCACCATTTTGACGGTCAAATTGTTATTATATTAAATACATATTCACATGAATTATATATATGTGCGCAAATTTTGTATAAAACTAACTTACCCTATACTTCCACGCACACACCTTTTTTCTCCTAATATCACATTATTTATAAAGACGCATGATGACATTATTATTTCCATTGCAAACCCTCAATTTTCTTGGGAGATAAGTTTATCTTTTTTCTATTGACAATATATATTTAGCGTTAAGAGCATTTCATGTTCCACTCGAAATTGAGTTTTCCACTCCATAATATTATTTGTGTAAAAGCAAAGTTATTTCAAAATTAGATAGACTAATGATACTAATTACTAATAACAAAGAATAACTTGTCTATTTTGTTCTCACAATCCCAAAGGAGCTACTCTACTTTCCCAAAATCACAGAGGGGATTTACTGCTACCATCTTTGATGACATTGAACAAAAGAGCTTCATTCAAAAGACCCCTCCCCCCGCTAGGAAAATTTTAAGGAGAATAACCCTTGTATGCGGCTAAAAGTTTGATGGGTTTCACCAAGTTTGTGTGGTCTATTTTAGCCCCTAAACGCGATCGCAATTCGAAAATACTAAATATATTTCATGGCCAAGTCGGGCAAAGCAACCATATCATGTAGTGATATATTTTTAATATTGGTGATACTAAAGAGATTATCTGCTTAAAGTATATTTTATAGACTATATGATGTGACAGTTAATAGATAAATTCCTTGTTTAAATTATTAAATAAGGTATTCAATTATTAATTACCTTATTATGTGATCAACAAAATATAATCTAAAAACATAATCATCTCAGCATTTTTCTTTAATATTATGAAACTTAAGAGGTGCACCAAGTGAAAATTATTGGCCGTCAATCGTATTTATAGGAGTCACATCCACTGTTAACTAAGCGGTGGAATTCTCAAATAGCAAAGAGAGAACAAAGAAAGAGAGAGAATAGTGTCACAAGAATTGAAAGATTTCTAGAGCGAGAAAAGGAAAACTGATTTCACTAATGATTGCCTAATAATAACATTGTTCAATTACAAATGATGATCTTCACTGGATCTTCTTTGTAAAGATTCTCGCCGGATCCTCTTTGTGAGGAGTTTAGGGATCTTCCAATCACATCCGTTCATCATATATTGTATGGTCAGAAATGATTGTAAATTTTTTATTTAAATTGAATATAAACAGTACTTGATAAAAACTAACCTCACGATGTACGATAAACGGATGTGATTGAAAGATCATCATAATCCTCACAAAGATAATCCGACGAGAATCCTCATAAAAAGAATCCGATGAGAATCCTCACAAAGAAAATCCTACGAGGATCCTTTATCTGTTAACACAACAATTCATTACAACAAACCTCCTAATATATTGCCTTTCACCAAAAAAAAAAAAAAAAAAAAAAAAAAAAAAAAAAAAACCCCTAATCTATTGCCACTTGGCAGTCAATACAACCTTTAGATCTTTACTCTTATCATCCACATCGTGTAGTACCACAACTTTTGGTGATGCGACGTGTCCACTTATCAGTGGACTGCCGTACAATGTGGTCCTAAGTAGAAATGGGAGAGGATGGAAAAGTAAGAAAATGAGGGGATGGCCGGGGCTGCGAGCCCACGACTTTGCGGCGTTTGAACCACCAGCCCAATTGTCTCCCCAGAGCTTTTTGTCAACGACACCAGTACGTGTAAGTCCTTGGGACAACCATATATGGACCAGCTAAGCCAGGCTTGACTAGTCACTGCTCCAGGAGGATTCATTTCAGTAGTGTAGGACATGGCATATTTCTGCAATGTCAGCTGTTGACTAATAGTTAGATTGATGGTTTTACCCTTCTATACTATGGGGTTTAGGTCAAGCCACACTTAAACTACACTCGGACATCAATTGTATAATGTTTTTCTTACCAGCCTTATATGTTATGTTCTTATATTATGCATTTGAATTATTAAGTACAATGTTCTATCTTTTAAGACTTGAAGATCACACATATGTATGGATAACTCTTGATCATCAGTTATTATTCTAGAATGTTAAAATAAGAAGTTTCCAAGTTGATTAAATAAATAAATAATTAGGGTCGATGACGGATCCACATAGGAGACCATGAAAGGCTATTACTCCCTCTCAACATTCATGCCAGTCATCACAATACCCTATAGCAGTCTTCAATATCACAGCTCATTGTTTTTCTTTTAAGGTTGGGGGGAAAAAGTTGCTTGATAAGATCAGTAGGGGTAAACATATATTTCCTTGAGAGCCATACTTCATCATGCCTCCTCTAAGAAAAATATTTCTGAATATGTTTCACGAGTGACTTTACCAAAATTAAATATGTTCATTTAGCAAGACATAAGATCATATTACTCTGACAGTGACCATATTGTTTCTCTTTCGAGCAATGAATGATGAACCAGATATATAGCAACATTTTCTCTATGAAAGCCATGTTTCATTAGAGACCTATGAAAGAGCTCAAGTTTCTTTATGAAAGCCATGTTTCATTAGACATATCGATTGGATTGAACTGGTGTTGTCAGTAGTAGTTTTCTCTTTTTATAAGTTTAACCTATTGACATATAGGACTGGGCAACCCATGCGGCTCGGTGCAAATAGGCAGACAGATTCAATTAGACCCATGTGAATCGCGCCATGGCTGGCTGGCTGCATTGCAGGGTTATCATGCAAGTTAGCATCTCTTGTCACTGTGGCTACTGGCTAGGCAATAGCCACGACTGGTTGCTGCATGGCATTTAATCAAGTTTGCGACATTGAGGAGGACCGATCGACCTTTTCACCATAAAACTCCAAGCTGTGGAAAAACATCAAATATACGTCCCATCAGAGTCACTACACAATAATTTATAGGGTAGTATATATTGACAA